ATGGGAGAGAGTCAGTGTATTTTTCCTGATCGAAATCAGCAGTTCATTAATGGGCAAAACCAGTAGGATTTATTGGTCTTTGTGGACTGAAGAGCACTTGGTAATGCCAGTCATCTTGCTTATTACATTCCCATATACCTATAGCTACAGCTAGTTTTCTTAGTCACAACCCAACATACTGAGTCAGACCTTGCCATAGATGTTAATAAAAAACTAGTCCAATATCAGAAGAACTGTACATGAAAAGATCAGAGATTAAAAAAAATAAATCTTCCCTTTTCACGTGCACCGTTTGAGCAAACGTGTCTAATGTCGCATTTACCTTCTACAGTGCAAATGCTTACCCTCACCACATCTAATGAGCCCTACTAAAGGAAGAAGTGGAAGTTAGGAAATCCGAAAGTAACGATACCGCTGCTATTTTGGCTTGTATATCAAGAAAGCAAAACTAATAAACATGGCCAATGTTTCTCTACTTAAAACGCTACCAAATTTCCGAAGTTGTCAGAGCTTCTTCTTTAACCGACTTATATGCAAAAGGTAGCTTTATACTCTGTAAATATGGGTCCAATCGTTCGCTAATTCAATTCCCTTTACTTAGAAACCCATTAATTTCAATACAGATAGCTCTAAGAACGCTAGCGTTGGCTGAGTTTCAAACCTGCTGCGGTTTGATCTTGTCATGTCTAATCTATATACCGTAACAGTATTGTAAGGAATGTGAACCAAGAAGATAAAATCCTCATAAAATGTTCCTGAGGCTTTTCCTATCGATGTAGTAAACAAATCTATGAAGCTTGTTGAATAATCTTCCAATAATTGTAGTAATTAAAATCATCATACAGTCTACAGTCACCTTCCTTCCTTTGACACTGCAGTCTTCCCTTTAATTGTTAACGTGTCTTCGTTTGAGATAAACAGAACAGGAGGGGGGGGGTTAAAATATATGGGTCAAATAAATTTAGCGGAAGAAAATTAGTTTTATAGGCAAATGTTTGGAGAGCACTTAAGAGACAAGGATTTTTTCAATGTATCCTGCAGATTTCACAACTGCAGAATATATGTGTCTCCCTGTTACCTCTAAATAGTGGGACCTTAAAGATAGAGGAAAGATTAAAGCTTCGTCCATCAATTGCTCCATCTTTGGGTCTTTATTTATATGGGTAAGGGTGGGAGTGGGAGGGAGGGAGTTATGTAACAAATATAAAATGAAAGCTCAAGTACAAACTGTCGGAGAGTTCCATAATTTTCACTTAATTTCCATGATCTATTTGATCCCTGTGCTCATTCCCTTTTTATGAACTACAAAAGATGTTCTTCTAATCAAAAGCTGCACTTCATCTTTGCCCACAAATGAAAAACTCTACAGCGGAAATAATTCAGGGACTCAACAGGCACCATAGGCTGTATTTTAACACTCTCTATATATAGCTCCCCCCTCCCCTTTTTAATATCTACTCTTGCATAGAATAGTGGGGAAGCCTTTTTTTAACTAAAGTTATTAATTTATCAACTGGTCCCCCTCGGCCCTGCTCTCATAATCAATAGTGGAGTCTGTATCATGTAAATGGAAACCATAATTGAGAGAAATGTTCATATGGAAGCCCTGATGCTAAAAAAAATGGCAGGATGCAATTATTTGTATAAGCGATGGGCATTTTTGCGGGTTTCCCCCCACACGTTTCTTATTTGGCAGAGAATCTGATTGCTTCTCCTTAACTTGGAAAGGTTTACACCTTCTTCCCTCCCCGCCCCCGTAACATCCGTGTGTAAATTCCGCGTCCGTCCTAGGATTCCCGGGAAATTGTCCAGCAACCTCACATTTAACTGCTGTTAAATCGATGTATTTGGAAAATATTTGGCAGCTCTTTCCCAGAGCCCTGTTTGAACGGAAGAACCATTTCATCTGACGCTCTTGAATGAGCCCATGAGCCTTCCAATCAGCTTTAATGAACGAATTGTTTCCCAGCTTTACCTCCTGAAGACAGCAACTTTAGTAGTTGCACAGATCAAAAGATCTGTTAAAGGGAAGGTGGGAAACAATATTTGTTCAAAGGAAGTGAACTGTTTCATTTAATTAGACCATTCTTCTTTATTAGTACTCACACTGAGACTTAAAAAAGATTTATGTTGATTTAGCCATAGTGTATTTATGATGTAAATATATTCCGAGATGAAAACGTCACGGATCAATTGTAAAGGACCCGGATACATAATTTAAAAAAATCAGTTTCAGTTTATATGAGGTTCTCACCCCACTTTCGCTTCTTAGTCAGATTTGTTTATGCAGAATCGACATTTAATAGTGCTAATTGCACTCCAGTTAAATTGCCCTGATTGCAGAAAGGGAAGCAATTTTCGTGCTCTCTGTCTGGGTTTGGAAGAAATTGTTTTATATTCACCTCTTTATAAAGAAGTGGAGATAAGGCACCGAGCCTTTGCACAAATTGCACTTATGGGCTGACTGGCAGCATTCAGGCGCTATAATAGAGCATTATTTGGCCGTTTTGAATAATGTAAAGCGTTTGCTGAAAGCTATTCTCCTGAAAATTGCTCTAACTTTTAAAAGGGTGGTGATTCACTCTAAACCAGGCCTTTGTTACATTGTCATTATCCCCCCAAATGTTTTAACAGTCAGCTCAACACTCTAGCATAACACATTGATCTTTGTTTAAAAAACTAGATTTTTGGCGTATAAAAAAAATCTGTCAGAAAATTCTTGACCCCCTAAAGATTTTAGGAGCGTTTCCTATTTCACTGCAATTCGTTTATTTCTTTAAATGTGTGCCTTCTTTTAGTAGATTTCAGTTACTTTTGTTATTATCAAATTGATTAATACTATATGTAACGCCCTACCCGTGCGTATATAAAAACAGAAAACAAAAATGTGATTGGATTTGGAAACATAAAATGTGAAAAGGCCAGTGGTATGTAGGTGCCTTTACCCTCTGGGTTAAATGGCTGGGTTTTGAACATAATCCCTTTGCAGATTATTTAATTCATTACTTTGTCAGCTTTCCTTAAGGGGGGAGGGGGGGAAGCCTCGCCAGTTCTCCTCCCTTTGCTGCCCCGGGGTTGGTCAGAAACGCCTCGTTGCCACTGAACAATCTCCCCTATTAGTAAACCAACGGCAGATCCTCTAAACAAACAGGAGCGCTGGCTCCCCCCGTAGGAAAGAGTCACCTGTTGGGCCATTGCTCCCGGGTGCCCCTGTCGGACTCCTAGTCTTTCCTGTGCTCCAGGGCTCTCCCCCCTTCCCACCCCCACCGCTTTTCAATCGCCTCCACTCGAGGAGTGCTACAGCCCCCCTGGGTAAAACTGCCGTTTATGATCTGCTCCAGGCAGACCTCTTGGAGAAAGGGATTGCAATTCACTCGCTGGCCCCCTGTGTTCAGCGTAAATCAACGTGCAAAGTATTAGGGGCAGAACAGTATTTCTCCTGACTTCCACTATTTTAAATATTCACAGCGTCAAAAAGGCAAACACCCTTTGAAAATAGCCGTACATGTTTAAATGAAAGAAAATCTGCACTGACATCCCTAGCCGCTGTGCTATAGTTATTGCAGACTGGGTCATGCTTACAATGTACAACAACGTGCTATCTTGTCTCGTTGGAACATTTAGAAATGAAATAAAGACAAGAGAAAAGGAACCTTAATCCAGGGTTTTCTCCACCTCGTCCTTTAACAATGTGTATTTTTGCATCTAGTGCTGGGGTTTATGCTGGATTACTGAAGCGGATTTGAGGAAAAGGAGAATATTTACTGCAATCCAGAACAAGTAGTTAGGGTTGCCTGAATGCACTCAGATTTCTGCTTCAGAACTGTAACTAGCTGCACCCGGGAAGACAGAGAAAGAGGACACCGTAATAATCTCAGCGCTACAGATACAATCGCAATATTTAAAAAGTTGTCCGTCTATTGATCTTTCGCAACACAGTGCGGGTGAGTTCAATGCAATTACTTAAGAAGCTTCTAATAATTACAGTCAAAGGGACTAGCTTGCAATACAGTTAGGAGCCAAGGTTTGGACTTACATTTCGCACATGCAGAGAGCAGGTAAAGTCTGTCGCTCACTGGGCGTGTGGAGTGTGCACAGTGCAGAGGCCACAGGCGAGTGCTGGGGAGGCTTATTCCAGCGGCGCCCTAGCACTGCTAGGAGGAAGCACGGTTGCTGCTATTAGCAGCACAGTTTTCATGCCTTTCTATAAGGCGTGAAAAATGTGCTCCAGGTTGCAAACTTGACATTCAAAGTCTTTAACCAGGGATAGTTATTTAAGATAAAAACCCTTCCTCTCCAGCAAAACAAACAAACAATCGTTCCTCCGGCTCCTTTTGGCAGTTATCTGAATATAAAAAGAAAGATACGTGTCAGTTTAATATCCTTTTTTGCGGGGGATATGTAACTAAAAAGCCTCATGTTTTTTCCTCAAAGAAACTAGCAAATATATGATTTGCTATTCGTCAACATGACGAATCACTTAGTACTTTGACAAAAATATAGAGGACTAAAATACACTTTGGAATGTGGTTACTGTTCTCGGACAGAAATTTGTATAGTCACTTTTGGGCATGTATGATGTGCATTGTCTGTGCCTCACCTGCCCAATTTGCCTGCTGGGCCAGATTCTAGAATGGCAATGAAAGGAAGGGCCTGTTGAGCAAATAAACCCTCTTTTTACAAGAAACAGAAATACATATTTCCTGGATCCAGCTAGTATGTTGGATTGGGTAAGTAATTATGGAGAATATATAATACAGCCGAATAATTTGAATCTATGGTTAAAACTGACAAAATTCAAAGTGAATGCGGACATCCAGCTCCTGCCCTTTGTGGCTTCCCCCCTTTTCCCACAACCCGTTAGTTACGGAGGAAGTGTCAGCCCTAACTTGGAATTTCCTGGCTTTTGTTGGTTTATGTCACAACCTTAAGGATATTTAAACCCAGGTTGTTGTTTTTTAAAGTTAATTACAGTATAATTTCTTTAGTCCAAAGCACTGAGTTCATCCCTGTGCCTTTGACTGGCACGCGCCCTGAGCCCTGGTTCTTGCACCTCCAAGTGTCTGATTGGCTGCAGGGCAGCTCCTGCCTGCTCTTTCTGCGCCCTCATTGGGTGAGAGACCCAGCCAGCGGTACTTCAAAGCAGGCGCTCCCCACACTTAGGCTGAGTTTAGCCCTCCAGAGCCAGGAGTGTACTTAGTGCAACTGGAGTAAAGCGGGGAGCTAGGAGGAAATTGAACAATCTCTCCGGGCTGAGCGCAAGGCAGAGCCCCCCATTCGATCCCATCACCCAGCCAAGGGACGTGCTATGGCTACGTCTATACTTGGGGTAAGTCAGAGAAACATCTCTATACAAACGGCATGTTTTTCGTTGTGGTTTCTCGGGGGCAGGTTTGTTACCCTGAAAAAAACTGTTGCTGTTGTATTGCAGTTTCTGGTTATAAAAATGACGATATGCTGCAATTGAAGGGCAAACTCGATTAATGTTTCGGGGGCGTGCGGGGCTGATTTCCAATCGTACCGTTCACATGCAAGACGACTTTAGTATCAAGTTTATTTTGTTGTGAAATAAATGAACTTTTTTTTTTAACTCGAGGAGGGTTATGCCACATTGGAATGGATTTTCTCGAACCAGCCTGGTGCTTGATGCTTGCACCAAAGCCATAGAGCAATATAATTCTGTTTATGTTTCTGCTGGCTCATTTTGTAAGCTCTAACCCTTGTGGCTTTAGAGCACATCGTTTTTTCGTTTTCCTGGGGATTTTTGCCTTTACAGTCGCACGTTGAAAGAGGAAAGCATTGCCATAAAGAGTCTCAAACCGCTACAAAACTCTTAAGAAATGACGTCTGTGTTATTTTAGAACATCACTGTCGGTCGTCCCCATTATGACATTATGGAGAAGTGTATCATTAAATTAAATCGGTTTGTAGCGTTTATTCAAGCACTATAGGTCCCTGAAAACAAGATAGAAATTGCATCAAGTTGGGCAGGGTGGCGTTTTCATCCAAAAGGAAAGGCTACTTTTGCAGTGTTACTTTTCGGGCAGAGACTATTTAGCCACGTTGCTGTGTTTGCGTGTGCGCCTCTCCTGGGCTCTCCAAGGCTCACGGGCTTGCTTTGTGTCTCCCTTAGGAAGAGCCAAGATTTGGAACAACTCCCCTGGCCATGCTGGCTGCGACCTGCAATAAGATCGGGAACACCAGCCCTCTGACCACTTTACCCGAGTCCAGCGCCTTCGCCAAGGGAGGCTTTCACCCCTGGAAACGCTCCACCTCCAGCTGTAACCTGGGCTCCAGTCTCTCGGGCTTCACGGTGGCCACTAGCCGGGGCTCCAGCGGACTGGCCAGCGGCACTGGCACCGCCAACAGTGCCTTCTGCTTGGCCTCCACCTCGCCCACCTCCTCGGCCTTCAGCAGCGACTACAGCGGCCTCTTCTCCAACTCGGCGGCGGCGGCGGGCGTGTCCCCGCAGGAGCCCGGCGGCCAGTCGGCCTTCATCTCCAAAGTGCACAGCTCTGCGGCCGAGAGCCTGTACCCGCGGGTAGGCATGGCGCACCCCTACGAATCGTGGTACAAGTCGGGCTTCCACTCCACCCTGGCCGCGGGAGAGGTGGCCAACGGGGCGGCCTCTTCGTGGTGGGACGTGCACACCAACCCGGGCTCCTGGCTGGAGGTGCAGAACCCCGCCGGGGGGCTCCAGAGCTCGCTGCACTCGGGCGCCCCCCAGGCCTCGCTGCACTCCCAGCTGGGCACCTACAACCCCGACTTCAGCTCGCTCACCCACTCCGCCTTCAGCTCCACGGGCCTGGGCTCCACGGCCGCCTCGCATCTGCTCTCCACCAGCCAGCACCTGCTGACCCAGGAGGGCTTCAAGCCCGTGCTGCCCTCCTACACGGACTCCAGCGCGGCGGTGGCCGCAGCCAGCGCCATGATCACGGGCGCCGCGGCCGCCGCGGCCGGGGGAGGCTCAGCCCGCTCCGCCCGCAGGTACTCGGGCCGGGCCACCTGCGACTGCCCCAACTGCCAGGAGGCGGAGAGGCTGGGGCCGGCCGGGGCCAGCCTGCGGCGCAAGGGGCTGCACAGCTGCCACATCCCGGGCTGCGGCAAGGTCTACGGCAAGACCTCGCACCTGAAGGCGCATCTGCGCTGGCACACGGGCGAGCGGCCCTTCGTCTGCAACTGGCTCTTCTGCGGCAAGCGCTTCACGCGCTCGGACGAGCTGCAGCGGCACCTGCGGACTCACACGGGCGAGAAGCGCTTCGCCTGCCCCGTGTGCAACAAGCGCTTCATGCGCAGCGACCACCTGAGCAAACACATTAAAACGCACAACGGGGGCGGCGGGGGCAAAAAGGGCAGCGACAGCGACACGGACGCCAGCAACCTGGAGACCCCCCGCTCCGAGTCCCCCGACCTCATCCTGCACGAGGGGGTGACCGCTGCCCGGGGAGGCGGCGGCAAGGAATCCACCGCGGGGCCAAACGACTCGTAGGGAGCCCGGACGGAACAGCCGCCCTCTTCCCCTGCAAAGCCCAGGCCGGGGAGAGGCGAAGGAGCCGCCCCCCCACACTGCGCTCAGACTGCAGGAGCGACTGGACTAAAGCGCAGGGTCCAGGGCCAAGCCCCAGAGACACAGCCCAACCCCTCAGCCCCGCAGGACACTGACCCGGCTTCCTGAGGCAGAGCAATAGCGAGACCCAAGCCCGCACAGACTGAGCAGTGCGAAACCAACGGGACCTAAAACCGCCCGTGGTGTGGATTACTAGTCTCTAGCTACAGCAGGTCCTGCCTGACGAAATCTAGTTACAATGACACTTTTTTTTTAAAAAAGGAAAGCATCCTAAAAGAGGCTTAAGGTGAGAAATTAAAGTGGAAGTCTGAGACAGTTCCCCTGTATTCCATAAACATCTGTATAAATAGGGTTCAAAAAAGATTGTGTTATCTTATTTTTCTTGTAAGCGTTGATTCTGATAGGGGGTTTATTTTTGTCTCTCTTTTTTGTCCTTTTTGGTGAATTCCTGAAATTCAGGAAGTTTATTTTTTTTTTAAATTTCTGATGCACTTTGTGGAAGTCGGTATATATGTAAAAGCTATTTAAAATGTTGAGTTAACATTTCACTCAAACACACGTAAGTTAAGGTCATTTAAAGAAATTAAATGCGTTTATCTGTATGAAAAAAATCTTGACTTAATATTTTCATTTTGGTATTATTAAAGGATTCTGAACAATATACTTACGGTTTTTGTTCTTTTTTCCCCAGCCCTTATATGGAGCAGCTTTTAATGCAAACCCTTAGTTCCTCTCCCAATGCTAGTACAGTAATACAAGTGAATGGGATTTAAAAACAAGAAATGCATTTGATGTCAGGGATCCAAATTAATCAAACATCTTAAGGCAAATTTCAATCGGGTTATGTCCTATAACTGTGTTCCCTCATTCAAACAGTCATTCCCCCGCCCCCCAAGATCTGACCCCAAATAAAGAACGTTTAAAACCTATCCAAATTTGGAAACGCAATTTATGAAAATGTCCCCAGATAGATTTAAACTGTGCAAAGAAACTGTTTTTAAAAAAAGTCTTTAGCCCCACAAGGCTTCCTCGGTTGGGAGATGATCTCGGGGGAATAAACCGCTAGAGTCAATACTCCGGAAAAGACATTTCATGCCTAAATGAAAATCTTGTTAAATGTTATTAATTTTGACTTAGAGCACATAGCAGCCCCCTGTGCCTTGTATTCCCTTATTAGGGATTCATGTCTTATCAAATATCTAATTAATCTCCTAGACATCATTTGTTCTGGCCAACTTTATCTCAGCTGGTCCACGGGGACAACTCCGAATATTCTCGGTGACAAAGCTCCCTTGAAGATCCTTTTAATTGTCTAAATTAACTGCACCAAATTTGCATGTCAAACGGTAAAGGGCAACCTGAGATAAAATGTAAACGTTTTAAAAGCCCCAAACTAAGCACTTGATTTGATAACTAGGCTTTTTAATGTTATGGAAGACAACTGCTCCTTTCCTTTTCAAAGACAGTTGATCTATGCAAATAGTGAATTGGAAATGCTTATGTCCCCATGCAGTCAAATGGTCCTTGCATGTTATTTGAATATCAGTGGCTCTGCTATTGAAAAGGTTCAAGGATGCTCTCTGACTTCTTTGTGATTACTCAGTGCAGCGTCTTATTCTGAAGGAAAAAAAACCTCAGGAATAATTAAAGGCTGGGCTAAGGCCTGGGAACACATTTGGGACAGGAATCTCATTTAGACAGGCTCTTTCAAAATAAGGCACAGTTAAATTGACCAGAAGGCAATTATTGAAATGAAAATTATTTTCACTCCCTTTGTCTCCTGACCACCAACTTAACAGCCACAGTATTCTTTTTTTTTAAAAAGAAAGAAAATGGTTAAATGAGATAATTGCGCTATTTAAAAAGAAAAAAAAGTTAATTTAGTGTAGAGTGGAGGAATAACATTTTAAGCCAGTACAAGCTAGAGAGCGCAAATAAAATCAGAAAAAGGATTGTGCTGTCAGTCACAAATCAAAGATTTTTGAATAAAAAAAATTCTGCTGTGAATATTAATAGAAGGTATTTCACTTTCCCAACACAGTCACAAAACACTAGCTGAACGTGTTCCTACATCGTTTGTTTTAAATGCACACAAGTGTAGCTCAGCGGCGGTGCTGAGGGACTGACAGAAGGAATCTTTCTGCAATTTCAATTCCTTTTAAAAACAATCTTGAGCTGATTTTTTCCGACCTAAATTATTCAAAAGCATCGATTATCTCCACTTTCTTTTCTCCTTTCCTGACCTATTTTTGTCTTCCTTATCCCCCCTTTTTAAACTGAGACCGCTCTGTAAGATGAAGGAAAATCCTCTTGCTTTTCCACACCACCCTTTCCCTGGAGTGCCTAGAGGATCTGTATTAGATGTATTTTATTCTAGGGCAGGCGGGGAGAGAGACAATGGGAGCTGGCGAGGATGACACTGGCGGGCAGATGTAAAATAAACAGTGCGCTTGCTGGGCTGCAGGACATGACTCTCCTCCTTGTCAGTTGTTGGGGTTTCCGAGGAATGCATTCTCACTGGGTGTTGGGCAGAAGTCAGCTTTGTTTTCAATCCATAATAAAACACATCAAAGGAAGCCATCCAGGTCCAGTTTCTGCCAGGCCAGGGTTACAATTCTCAGCTCAATGATCAAGGACCTCTTTGCATTGCCTTTGCCCCTTGGGGTCAGAAAACGTCCATCATTTACAGACTCCCCAGAAATGAAGAAGGGAGCAACTCTGGGCCGCAGAGCCGGTTCGTTTAACCAAGAAAATAGAAAGCATGTAACCTTTTAAAAAATAAATGGCACCATTCTTTAGTACTTGTTGGTGATAATTATATGGTCTGGGGACTACAGAACTTTTGTAGGACTGGATAAAGAACAGACAGTGAGAACCGAAAAATAATTCTGATTCACTCTTTTCAAGTACAGTTAAATGGTATTTCTATAGTGGGAGCCTGCAAACCCGGGAGCAAAAAATAACATTGGGACATAGAGAAACGTTTTTTTACGTGTGTCACCCTCTAATGGGAAGGGAGCCAGAGAAGTTGAAAGAGGATTTAGATTCGTTGCTGTTTCGGTCGCGTTTGAACGCGACTTTTATGACTATTAGTAATTTACATTTTGCCTGCACGGTTACCTCCAACCAGTACACGTTGTGGAACTTAGCTTCCATACTCGATCTTGTAGCTAACCCCATGAAACAAGATTTAAAGAAGACTAAAGATAAAATATCAGAGAAAACTATTGCTAAATGCCATTTGATCGCTCTGCTCCCGATTCACCGGAGATGTGGCTCCTGCCCCCCAGGGTTTATTATAGTCCTTTAAATAAATAAAAAGTAGTAAAGGTAGAATGAATATTTTTGTTTAAGGAGATAATATAGAACTCCATCTCTGTGTATGAACAGTTATTTTTTACCTTTGTTTAAATATTTCAATTGAGAGGGAAACTTTATTTATTGAAGCTCTAATTTATTTGCAGCCATTAGCTGACTTAAGAAGATTTTCTGCTACACTCCCAAAATGCAGATGAAGGAAATCTTACAGAAATCCCGCCCATTTGGGTAATTGGTACACTAAGTGTTTATTTTAAGTGAGAATAATTTAGCTACAAATTTTCTTAAGGAATAACATTCTTAACACATTAACAAAAAAAGGAAAACTCTGATTTGCTTTTATGTTTGACAGTCGCTCTTGATGCCTTTGAGATACGCTTATAACTGTGGCTCTTTGGCGCCATCTAGAGCTTCAGGAGCGCACGGCGGCACTTGCTTCGCTCCCCACAGCACAAGCCCAGAACCGCTAAGACTTTTGTGCCGGTGCAAGAAAGATCCCTGCTCATTTCGCTTGCGAGAAGTACTCAGCGCCTCGCTACGTGGCGTGCGGGTGAGCCTGGCTGGAGTCAGTTTTTACCTGTGCAAGGCTGGACATGTTAGACAGGTAAAGCTAAAATAAACGGCCCTCTGGCAGAGACTTGGATTTCAAATGTATTCGAACTCCCTACAAGGCAGATGGAAGTACCGCAACAATCCTCCTGGCCCTTCATTCCCGAGAGCAAGGGTGAACCGCCCCCAGCAGCTTTGGCTGCGGGCACAGGTCCCTCCAGCCACACGCCGAGCCTTTAGCAGCCAGGGGAGACACAAACGACGCATGTTCAAGTTAGTCCTATTGTTTCATGAGCAAACTTACCAGAGGAGGAGGGAAAAATCGAGCGAGGCTGCAGAGATCACCCACCTGAAAAAGGGACCTGGTTCGGGTCTGGGCCACCGCTCCCTCGCCCTTCCACCCCCGAGCTGGCCCGGCGCCCAAGCTAGGCAACCAACCGGCTAGGAAACATAACGGAGCCGCTTGCTCTGATCTGTAGCCCTCCTTGATTCAGTGCAATTACTTTATGGGCAGGAGCGGCCCTTTCCAATTAGTTCTATCCTCATGTCCACACGTGTATGGTTTTTAAAAGTCCACCTAATGTGCGGTTTGGGGCCTTAATCCCCAATGGGATCTGCATCTTGGTGCCACTCGGCCTTTGACTCGTGTGCAGAGCTAGGCTGGAGTTAGTATTTGGGAACTCGGTCATCCGTGACCATGCAAGGAGTAAAATAATATGTTCTTCAGTAGCATGCAGCTACCTTTGCACTGGGTAATGCGGCTGAATTTGTGTTGGTGTTTTAATACAAATCCCCAGCCCTGCCTGTTTCAGAGATGTGCTAATTACTACTTGGATAGCAGGGCGCAAAGTCCTTGTCCATTTCCTAGTACAAAGTAGGTTGCTAGAAAATTTGAAATTGCCTTTCAGCCTAAAGCTGCCTTACCTGAATGTCATAATTACAGTAATTATGTACATCCAAATTACATGCTAATTAAATTAGAATCAAATCGTTCTAAATCGAAATCAAATGAGGTAGCGAGAATTAATCAATGACAACATAAATAGAGAGCTTCCTTCAGGGATATTTATTGTAACGATCCAAGCAGGAATTTGATCTGAGTCACCTGTTTATTTACTTTCCAATTAGTAATAATTTATTTTCGTTCGCCATAAATTTCAGCGATCAGTTTTCCAAGCGCCAAGAGCTAAAGGAAAATTTGAGCAGTGTGAAAAATATGATCTAGATGTCGGTACTCCGAGTTACTCGAACACCAACAGTGCTAACTCGATCGTCATCCTAAAATTACAACAAAAATCGGCCCATACTAGAAGCTGCGGAGTAGCGCCCTTGCACTTGTGGTTATTTCCCAGGGGCAAGGGCCAAGTCTCCATTTTGACCATAATGTACACTTCTGGCTAATGGGAGCACAATGGAAAACGCCCTGTTTCCCTGCTGATCACTGTCATTCCACACCTAATTAACACGTTTCCATGACAAGTTAAGCCTCTCCATTGTTACAACACAAACAGGAGGAGACGTGCCGAAATTAAAGCGGAAGACGCTTTTCACCCCTGGAATCCGCCGCGCCGTGAGCAGCTGACACGGGACGGGCCACTCACCTGTTCGCTACGCCCCGCGTGCGGGGCTACATCTCCAGAATCAGGTCGCACCACAACCACCCGGGGAAAACTCCCCTCCCAGGAGCAAAGACTGACCAGGGGCTTGAACCTTGGGGCCCGTCTCTACCCCCGACTAGCAGCCCGGGGCTTGCAGTTGAGGGTGTAGACGGGGCTGCATCCCGGGGGGACCT